TGTCTCTAAGATGCTAGACAATCCACATAGTTCTAGATTGATTTGTGATTTTGGAGGAGGGGGGCTTGGCTACCAAAATCAGTGTCTCTATTGCTTAAGATGCTAGACAATCCACATAGTTGTAGATTGATTTGTGATTTTGGAGGAGGGGGGCTTGGCTACTAAAATCAGTGTCTCTATTGCTTAAGATGCTAATTGTCAGCTGTGCTATCTGAAAACCCACAGTTTTGCAGCAGTACCGTATGCATATCAACAAAACATTTATGCTGACAATTTTGTCAGTGGAACTTTCAAGAACTTATCGCACCATATTCTTTTCAAGCATGGACATGTCTTTAATATATTTGGATGAAACTCATTCATCAGATGATTTTTTTGTAGTTTCCACTTTAATTGTTAGCCAAGTTTGAATTATTATTTAAAGAAATAACGGGCCCTCTGATCGATAAGTATTCAGTGGAAGTAGAATGCCAGCCCGAAATATAATTAAATAATTATACATATTTTCTGGCTGTAGGTTGCTATTATATTAGTTAGAACAAGTGGTTTGAGATGTTTTGCGTTCTGACAGCAAGTACTAGTTCTTTGGTGCTCCTGTTTTTCACGTGTAACAATTCGAAGAAATGTTCTCCATAGACACCCTGTGGCTCACCCAGTTCACTTGTGAATGGATTTTGCAGGTTATAGAGAGAATCGAAAAGCAGCTTGGACCAAAGGCAAAGAGATTTTGCTTGCGACGAACTCTGACGGGTCCGTGGTAGCCCGAAGCTGAATACAACCTTGACAGCAGCTGGGGGCGTCTGGCTTCCTTAGATGAACAACCAGTGTACATATCAGCCGAAGCCGGGGTCTCCAGCTGCCCCCGTAGACCGCCGCTTTGCTGCTGCTCCTGTGGCGGTTTCTTTAGTTGGTTCCTGGGTGACAATTTAAGTCCTAGGTCTCTCTAGCTTTGCCGTTTCCAAAATGAACAAAAAGCAAAGTATCTAATCTGTTTAACACCCTATCTATTCGCGCGTGGCGAGGTCGTCATGCGTGCCGTTTTATGTCGTCGCTGGACGCAGCCGTGCGGCTGCTCTGTATGCTTGTGAGCTGCGATGCCAGTTCTGTGATAGCCGAGTGATCACCAAACCGTAGTGGACCAGCGGTAGAGCATTTGGTTTCACTGACCTGGCTGTGGTTTTAGTTTACAGCTGCCGTTTTCTACCAAATCAGCGGTAGAGCATTTGGTGAACATTTACGCTGACGATGTCACAATGCAGGGAACTCCTGGGTTTGAGTTCACAGTCCACTTTCTGGGCGACGCTGCTGCTCGGTGCGATGCGCACGCCGCACCAGGATGAACAGAAGAGCTCGTCCTTCTTTGTTGGTTGCGACATTGATGTTACTAGCTACTTTGCCCTGGAGTGGAGGTCAGTTAAGGGCACTCACGGACCACACTGGTAGTTGGCCTGTGCTTGTGCTTTTATTATGATATGATGAAGAAGAGGTGATGGGCGCCACCGGCTGGACGGGGACCGGAGTTCGGTTCACGCTGGGGGCGGCGAGCGTAGCCTGGTTGCGCCGTCACGGTGGCACCACCGCAGGGATCAGTAGGGGTCTGTGCCCTGTTTGGTTCGTCTCCAGAACGGCCTGGTTTAACGCGGCGCCGAATAGTTGAGAATCTAATTACCACTTCCTCCGCGCGTGGATACACTCTCGTTTCAGAGACAGTTAATTCCGGGGGAGGTTATACTGTAAAGCCGGCACGAGGTTCAGAGGAGCGCATGGCAGAAGCCAGGCCACCGTAGATTTTAACCGACCCTCCAGATGCCACAGTGATCCAGTGGAAACGTTGGCTGTCTGTCGATGTGTTGTTGAAGATAATTCGGATTCCTGACCCATGACATTATTCTCAGTCTCCCGCCCTACACTAGCTAGTTCCTTGCACGCCACTACAGGTAGCGCTTTTTCGCCATGATGCTGTCATCAATCTATCTACTACGGAGGAAGACATGTAGTGGTAGAGGAACTCAACGAACTGCTTCAAGCTCGGAGGGACTGTTCAGAGCTCAAGAGCTGCGGCCGAAGCCGTGTCCAATTTGGCAGCGCCTCTGATCCTCAAGAAAAGATACACGAGCTCAAACAAAGGACTCGGGTGGGCAGCGGGCAGCCGCTGATCTACAATTTGACCAATGTGGGGGCAACATTACAAAAGCTAGCAGTTTTTTTTTGTCAAAACACATTACAAATACTTCCTCTGTTCCTAAATATAAGTCTTTTTAGAGATTTCAACAAAAAAGACTTATATTTAGGAACGGAGGGAGTAGTTAATAAAGTATTGGCGAATCAACCTGTGATTGAGATGGTTAGGTGGACAGTGGTATCCCCAACCCATCAGGGTTCAAATCCTGGTGCTCGCATTATTCTTGAATTTATTTCAGGATTTCTGGCGATGCGCTTTCAGTGGGAGGAGACGTTCCCGTCGACGACGAGGCGCCTACGGTGACTTCGTAAATCTCAAGATGATATGCCGGCTCAGTCTCTCGGAGGTGCTCATAAGGGTAGGGTGTGCGTGTATGCGTTCATAGGGGTGAGTGTATGCGCGTGTATATGAGCGCTTGTGTCTGTACTGATGCTCAAAAAAAATATTAATAAAATATTAAATATATATATGAATGCACTAGTAAAATTCATGTAAATTGTTTGTGGGGGCCCGCGCTTAGATCCGCCACCGGTAGCAGCGGGGAGCTCCTTGCTCCTGTGCCTCAGAAGTGAAAATGTGGTACTATATTTTTATCTTGTCTTGGGTCTCATGGAGTAAGCACTTATGCAATTATTTTATTTTGTTTTCTTACTTTTCATGTGTGCGATACGATCTTAGCTCGTTACGCGTTATAAATTGGTCCGAACCATGGTAATTTGCGTGTTCACAGTTGTTCGGGAGGGTGTGGAACCATGGTGACTTTGCCACTGTAGTTGAGCGGGAGGGTTCAACCATGGTGAATTCTTGCTTGTTTCTATTTTTCATTTTCTTTGAGACAATCCATTTTTCATATTTTTTTTGAGACAACCGCGCGAAGCTTTATTAAATCGTCACAATGTTTACAGGGACGGAAGGTAAATTCCCGGGGTGCCCCAACCACACATGTCGGCCACCACCGAGAGATAAAGCATGCTTCGCTAAGTTGTGAGCTTCATAATTTGAGCTCCTAAACTCATGACTAAAAATGCAAGAATCAAAAAACGAGGAGTGTTCAACTATTTCATGTATAATGGCACTGTAGCTTGACGAGTTATCCATCTTCAGATCTTGAACCACCACCTTGCAGTCTGAAGCCACTTGAATCCGTCGCTCATATAGGTCATCTGCTAAAGCCAGCGCTTCTCGGATAGCAAGTGCTTCCAAAGTTGTCGGATCAATGATGTGGTTGAAACGAAGTGTCGAGGCCCTCAAAAACATGCCGCTCCCATCTCTGCAAATAGCACCTACAGCCCCGAATCCATCGCTAGATACAGCAGCATCCACGTTCAACTTTGCATTTCCGGCTATAGGAGCCACCCAACCCTGGGACCGCATTGCAACCGGCACACTGGGCCTCGGTGATCTCTTGTTGACATTTTGCAAGTCGGCTAAATATTTTGTGATGAATGTATGAACTGAATGAGGTGATTGGAAGATATTCTCATGAGTAGCCTTCCTCCGTACCCCCCAAAGGGCCCATAAAGTGACCACCAGTTGATCAAACTGTTCTCTTGTCAACAATTCATGCATGGAAAACAGCCATTCCCTGGGATTATCCTCTCCCCGATCAATCATGTGAGCAACAAGTTCTTCCGGTGCCAGTGCTCAAACACTAGCAGCCATCGGGCAAGATATGAGAGCATGTTTCCACGTATCAACAGCCCCGCAGATCGCACAAGTATCTACTGTTGCCATATGCCGATGCTTCAAAACAGTGCCGGTTGGCATGGACTTCTAGGCGAGACGCCAAACAAAAAGTTTCAGTTTTGAGGGAACCTGCAGGTGCCATATCATAGACCACTTCTTGGTTTCAGTAGGATCATACAAGGTCTCGCCGTGCTCATCGAACACAGCCTCGTGGGCGTGTTTTAATCGCAAGATCATCCTATAGGCTGATCGAACACTGAAACCCCCTCGGGGCTCTTCATGCCAAGCCCAAAAGTCTCCGACTTGACGTGTGCATAGCGGGACCCACATGATTGCTTCCGCATCTCCTTGCGTGAAAACAGATCGGACCAGGTTCTCATTCCAGCTAGCAGTTGTACTATCAATGAGCTGCGCCACCTTAACAGGAGGGTTTTGGACAAGCGATGTTATTGGACACTTAAAAATGTCTCTGGGAATCCAAATGTCACTCCAAATGCTTGTTGTCTCGCCATCACCTATCCTCCATTTTTTATATGTGCGGGATAGGTACATGCTGATCCCTAAACCTCTCCCTTGCATGTGTTGCATCTTGTGTTCTTCTCATCACGTCATCTTCACCGGCCCACGGAGAGAAGCGTATGCCTTTGAACCGCTGCCTGGCGGATCCCTTTTGGCGCTTATAGTGCTAGTTTTAGGCACTCACGTGGTGTTCACACCACAAGTTGAGCATCTTTTAACATGTCGGCCCATTTAGAACCTAGCACGCTTCCCGCTTTGTTTTCTGAAGTAGTATTTGCGAAGCTTCTGTTCCGGTTTTGGGAAGCTTTCGGAAGCTTCTGCCCTGTTCTTTTTTATGTTCGGTTTTTCTATAGGTTTTTCTTTTTCCCTTTTTTGTTTTGGTTTTAATTTTTTTAATTTGTATTAAATTCTTGAGCCCTTTTCAATTTGTCAACATGCATGATTGGTTCTTCAGATGCATGGTTTATTTTTCTTTATCGTAAACATTTGTCAAATTTGTGAACATTTTTACAATCATGAACTTTTTCCTAATTCTGTAAGTGAACTTTTCAAATTAACAAAGTTTTTCAATTTTGTGATTTTTTTTCCAAATTCACAAAAAAATCTAAGATTCATTTTTTAAAAATATATAAGCTTTTTCAAATTGATGGACTTTTAAAAGTAAAGTTTTTTTTCTAAAGTCATGAACTTTTTGGAATTCTTGAATTTTTTCAAATTCATAAAATATTTTTAAATCCAGGAACTTATTTTAAAAGTATTAGGTTTGTAAACCAGAGTGGGTTTTCCCCGTAAACCAGTAGCTACTGGTTTTCCTGCACAAACGAGTAGATTGGACGAGCGAGCGAGCGGTCGACGGAGCTAATTGCTGGCCCAAGCGACCACGCGCGTGAGCGCCGGTGTGGCAACTAGCGCCCGTAGCGCTGACTTAGAGCATCTCCAACGGCCGTGTTTCGCGCCGCGCGCAAAAAACCTGTTTGCCGCGCACGCTTCGCCTGGTTTAGCGCGGCCGCCAGCTCTGGCTTCAACGGCCGCGCTATAATGCAGCGCGTAAAAATACAGCGCGCGTAGCACGCACAAATCACATATACATTTCAAAAAAAAGGAGCAAAAATGATCAAACAAACAAGATAAATCAACAATAAATAGTTCAATTTCGTTATCATTACAACTTAAATAAATAGTTTATCGTTCAGTACAACAAATAATGTAATAAACACAACAAATAGTTCATGAACAATACAATGTCGAATGCAAAAATCATGCTCTTTGTCGTCCATGTCATGTCCACCACTCTTCAATCAGATCCTTCTGAAGTTCATTGTGCGTTGCGGGACGCCAAATGACATGATAGGAGGCAACAAAACGGGCTACCCTTTCAGCCCTCC